TATCATCGACAACAAAGCTTACAGACAACAAAGTAGGTATTGAGTTTCAAACATACATTTACAAGGGCCGCTCAAATATTACGCGGACTGTGGCATTTTTTACTCTTACAGACGTCAAGTAGTTATGAAATTTCACAGAAATATGTATCTTAAAGATTCTCAAAATCTATGGGCAAAATTGCTGTATGTTAAAAAAATCCTACCAAAATTATCGATATGTTGATTTCCCTGATGGAGAGGTACGAAGCACGACAAAGAATTTGGAGCAAAAGCATGCGGAATCAAATTTTCAAGTCAATAATTTACTATAATTTGCGAAATTTTGCGACATTTTTTTTCAAATAGATCGTTAAAGTAAGTATTTAAAGTATTTCCACTCTCACAATTTTAATGGTTCAAAGTACAAAAACATCTATTTTCATTTAATATACTCTAAATTTACCAATTATTGCCAATTATTGCTGAAAATGTATAGGTTACCATATCATTTGAAATGCGAAACAAAGATAAACAGAAGAATAAAGGTTTTCCTAAAAATCGCACTTTTTATAAACAGTACTATGAAAAATATATATACAAACTGGTTTAAATGCATTGTTCTGATGCTGAATGTTCCTAAATATTTCATACTTATAAGATACCCTTGAGTTGTGGATATTAGGGAAACTATTTTACATTAGAAGTAAAATAAAGCATACACGTATGCCTAAATGAAGAGACCATAGGTGGAGTTATTGCCCTTGTCAACATTTTGTAAACTTTAAGATAAAAGATTTGATTAAATAAACAAAATATGCTTTTTCTTTCAATTCTTTTACTTTTCACTATTTATCATTACAACTATTGTAAAACATTCTTCCACCAGATAGTGTTCTATTAGGTTTGTATTTAAAACTAATTACAGTTTTTGCAAAAACCTATGACATCATAGGAGGGTGGAATTACCTTAAATTGATCTATTATTATGCATTTAGATTTCTGATGTGATACTTGAAGTACTAACAGGAATATGTTTTTTTTCTCTGATGGGATTCCCGTGAAAACGACTGTGAAAAAGACGTCTCCTGAATTGACAGCGCATCACACTTTTGTTAAATTATGTGTTACGCTCGAGATATCGCCAACATAAATCCAAATATGCATGATAAAAAAATGTAGAAGACTAGGGTATTCGAGACATTTGTCCACAAAAAGCATATTGAAATCTTACACCGTTTGATCCCTGTAAATAGGCTATAAGGGAGGAATTGACAAAAACTTTATCCGGACTATAAAGAACGTGATAGAGAGTCACTAATATTACACTATATCTCATAAATACCTGTAGTTTGTGATTTTTAAACAAAAGAAAGAATAGTCTTTACTTGTTAATAGATTTTTAGCTTGACAAGAAATGATGTTTGGATGTTGAGTGGATAAGGCAACTCAAACTGTACAGGTACTCTTGGGTAAATATTGAGAAAATGAAAGCTCAATGTATTTTTTTTATTATGCTTGTGACGTCAAAGATTTTGTTGCCCCATGACTTATTGATATGTCCTGAAAAATCACTAAAAATTGATACACGTATATTAATTTACAACATTTTGATATGAGATTTTGAAGATCGTATAAGTAAAGATTCTTCTATATAATTTGGTACAATTTTCGGGGTTAAGGCGCCAAATATTTTTTCTGTTCAACAAGTCAGCGTAAATTTTAAACAGCCCTCGTATATCCATTTTTAATTCTCTGAAAAATGTATCTATTTTTTCTGATTTCTTGTAAAAGAATCCGAGAATGTATAAAGAGATATCTTTGTTGTAAAAAATCATTAAACAACATAGAGTTTAACAAAAATGCCAGTGGCTTATTCTAAATTTAAGTTTAAGGATAGTCCTCGGAAATTCTCTTTCGGGTATCGTTTACATTTAATTAAAGTGCTTGGAATAATTTAGCATTTCAAGTACTTTCAAGTAATTTGGAATACTTTTACTTGAAGTATTTTGAGCAAGGAACTGCAATGTCAATTAATCTACCCAGAAATGTTTAGAATTCCCGAAGCTTAAAATGTGTTGAAAACGTACTAACAATGAATTGCTGGGTCGAGTATAAATTTTAGTTTTTGTTATGTAGGCTATATAAAATATATATGTCACGATATCACGTTACTTCGTTGATCACGTGACGGTATATATAATATATAGTAATCAAAATTTCTAAGTCCCCACGTAAGTATTTGTTTTACACTGTTTTATAATAAATAAACAAGACTACATCAATTTATACTTTTCCAGGATAAAAAGTAGCAAAACAATATTTTTACTTAATCTTATTTTTTGTATTGAAGGACTTTAACACAAAATGAGGAAAAGTGAAGACACCCTAGAATTAGAAATTCACAACGTTCAATGCTACTTTTACCCTCCATTCCAACAAATTAAGATCAAGATAATTGCTTCTCAAAGAGTTGACACAATTAAAGTAAAATCTTTATTGAAGGTCATTCCATTAAGGACTAGGTCGTTCTCTATATTTCCACTAGATTCTGCTGCTGGAAAAGCGCTCATTCTCTGGTCCATCTTGCCCCAGTCATGTTCTTTAGAGTTGAGATGTCTATGACATTGAAGCTTACTGAAATTGTTTGTACCCGACAATATTAACCCTACAGTACATAAGGTCCCCTTGCACACATTCCCCACTCTTCCAATTTGTTTCTATTAATTTTGATAATTAAGGTCGCTTCATTTAGTTTTTAATGAGTGCAGGGCAATTGCACGTGCAGATAGGTTCCTTCCACAAAAGTTAATAATTCTTATGTAGTAGTCCTGTTGATGTTTCTTTGCAGTACGTGTACATGTATACGCCTTGACCATGGGCACTTCCAGTTCCGGTTTCAGTGAATTTCCGGTTAAACCCTAGGATGGTTTAATGGTATTTGTTAAAAATCTAGCAATTTTTAATGATCATAAGGGAAACAAGTAAGCTCTCACATCTTCATGACGGTATTTGTTACGGTTTTCAATAAAATAAACCAAAGCAAAAGAAAGAAATACAACTCTCCGTTACTACCATCAGCTTGGACCATGTCAACTTCACTTGCACATTGTCGTTCGTACATACACGGTATTTCAAACAAGATTTTTTTCTGTTTTTCCTAAACAACTTAAGATGGAGAACACATGGAAATTTAAATAAATGAAAAGTACACCCGAAAACATATGAAACTTGCACTTCACGCTTTTTAACAAAAACGGTCATAGATGAGTAATTACACATTCGATTCCAATTTTATTTTAGCCGTTACAGGCAAACATTGAAAAATTAAGTCAAAATGGCGAGCAGATATTTCATTAATGTTAAGGTTTTTAAATACTTTAAATAATAAAAGTGGGGACTTAGAAATTTTGACAAGTATACTTGTCACTGTATCACGTTACCTCGTGATCAAGTGACGGTCATTTCTGCTTTTTTCATCATACATTTCTTCCAAGCAAGATTCAGTAAGCGGGTATGCTTCTCTTACTGATTTTCCACAAAATTTCTTAAATAAATCCTCATTATTTATTAGCTCGAGAATTTCTTACACACGTTTTTTTTTTATTTTTGCTTCTATCCAGGGGTATAAAGTGGGTAAATGCCTAACGTATATTATCTTATATATTTTAAATTTTTTCACAAGAGTAATAGATCAAAAGTATCAAAATTATTCAGATACATAAGATTTTTTTAAAGAAAAGACTGAAGCACGTTTACGTGTATTTAAATCTAGTTTTCTAACACTCTATATGCAGGTTGAAATAATATGTAAAGTTTCTGACACTCTTCCCATCATTAAAGCCCAATATGGCAGCGATTTGACGTCATTTTCAATTATGATCCCTACATTTGTAGTTCAGAGAAGTGAATGCACAGAAAGAGTACACTGCAATAATTTATGGGAAGCCTTAACTTACCTGCACATATAATTAGTAAGCAAATTTTATGTGGTCGTGTTAAAGATTTTGTTTCGGGCTGGACGCGGTTCAAACCCAGCAGGTGTGTCTCATGGTTACCTTCTATGAATTATATATAATTCAATAGTGATAATTTACATTTTCTAAGTGTGGGGGTCCTATGTACAGTGATATTTTCATTTAAAATCGCACAGCATGTTGCAGATCTCTAATTGTTTTCAAATACAAATGTAAGCGAAAATGTTAACGTGTCATCACAAAGCAAATTCAAGAATTTTTGATGTCGTACATTTGTATATATATATATATATATATATATATATATATATATATATATATATATATATATATATATATATATATATATATATACCCACTTCCGCCCCAACCCGGGGTTGAACTCTCGACCTTCGGAATCTGTCTCTTAGCAGTGCAGGAACAGCGCGCTAGACCGCTCGGCTATCTAGGCAATTTAAAAACTTGCTTCCGATGCCGAAGGAATTCTCGCGGCGCTGTCCTACACTACACGGTCATTGAGATTAGAAGTGAGATACAGTTATTTTTACATTAGTTTTAACAGAGGATTGTTACCAATAATAATGAAATTAATTATTATTTATAAAGCACAGTTGTTGTAAAATGTGCTTTATAATTTATAATTAATCTAAATTCTGAAATTTCATTGTTATAATTATACTTGTATGACCGAATGCTACATGTATATTTTTTGCTGGTCAGCGGCATGAAATATTAATATTATTAAATTGGTTTTAAGATTTCACCAGCACTTTTCAGATATCTTAATAGTTCTATTGTTGAAATGTAAAAGCTTACTTTGATCCATAGAGTGTATGCCCTTGCACTAGATCGTTGCTGTAAAATATTGATGAGAAAGCAGGACACCTATTGATTTGTAAACTCTTTTAAAGTGATGCATGCAGATATTAATGTAAACACTTTCACCAGTTTCAATTTTATTTTCACAATCGATTATATTTCATGGTTATTCAATTATTATTTTAACATTCATTGATGGAGTTGGCGACTTTCACTGACATTAGTTTCTCTTCCTGTGCGTCGGGGGAAGGGGCGACGACGTCCTTGTAAGGGGCCATAACAAATAGTCGAATAAATTTTAACAAGTATTCAGCTCTCTTTCGGCTCTATCCAGCTGCTGGAATGACATTGGGAGGTTGAATGGTGCATAGATCGATCCCCTGTTTTATGTTCTTTGCTGGGTGAATCTGGTAATTCTTTGGCTAAGACAATACCTTAAAAAATCAAAAATGATAGGCGAAATGGAGAAATTGATTAGAGGGGAAAACAAAGAAAATTCAATTCAAGATCATCGCTTATAGATATTTTGGAAACCAAGACTTTGGTCAATCTTATATTTTTGGGGAAGGGGGTTGTTAACCCAAATATATTACTAAGAAATATAAACACATGAATTTATTTTTTCATTCATACCTGGTTTATCTGCCTGGAAGACAAAGTGTCTATATTTCCTGATGCCCTTGAAGGAAACAAAGTACTCTGAAGTAAATGTCTTCCAATCGAGCCATTCTCCGCCAGCTCAACCAAACACAATAACTTCATTGGGCATCGCACTTTTCCTAACCACGGATGCTAACTGTTCCAAGGAGTCGACCTCAGCCTATCTTTATAACTTTTTGATGTAGGCAAATCCAGCATCTACCAGGCTTTTGCCATGATGGGGAACTTGCATATGCAAATTTATTTTGGAATGCTTTCCACTCAGCGTTCTCCACATCGAATATGCGAGCATGAATTTGTTTTTGTTTTCCCCTGAAAAGAGAATTATATGAATTTTTCATTTCCCCCAACGAACTCAATTAATTTCATGGTACCTTTTAAAATTTAAATCTTTATAATTTAAGTCTGACCTGAACCATTATCACAGTGTAAGTGACATTCTTTTTCACCTAAACCAAAATTCTCAAAACAGTAATGAAGCATCAAAATAACTCCAATTGCGCCCTTGACCTTGGTTCCGTTCTCCCCTGGTGTGGGATCCTCGTCTATAAGGAAGTTAAAATGCTTCCTTATACCTTTGTAAAATGCAATCATTATTGTTAATATCCCCTTCTGATTTTTTTGGGGTGGGAGTGGGTAAATAGCGTATTTTATTTCAAATACAGCATCGATTATATAACAATTTTAAATTGATTGTATACAGAAACTAACCTTCCATAGCAACTCCAAACACCTGGACCTTTCTGGGTGTTGCGAAGTTTAAAGGTCCGACTTGACATACGTGATGCGGAATAAATACAGCTTGAGAATAGTCGAATGTATAATAAACATTCTGTAAGTCTGTCGACATCCCTGGCGCTGCATTTACTGGGACGGGTTGCTCAGCTATCTCAGCTCTTGCGTGTGTAACACACTGGTTATACAACTGTCATTTAAAGGGAATAAACATGTAAAATATTTTTTAAAGGAACTGAAATCGTCTATAATATGCAGACAGAAAGAGAAAAATATTATTTGTAATGTAATCTAATGTAGATTTTATTAGAACATCATCCTTTAAATACAAAATGAACAAGTGAATTGCACAATTTATATTAGAATATTTTAAAAAGTAATTCAAAGAATGTGAAATCAATTATGTGGAACTGTAGTACCTGACGTTCTGCTTTAACTTCTTGCAAGTGTGCACTATATCAGTCGAGCGCCGCTAACTTGTCGTTTTCCGTCATCGCCTATTGAAAATCACCTTTGTGCTGTTCACAGACAGGAAACACGTCAGTCTGTGGGGACATGAATTTTATATTGGGACAGCTACTCTGCCCGCCTCCTTTAAGGGTTTTAAATTCTACTGCTGTTTTGTTGTTATCAGTACAAATATCCTTGTATATTTTATACAAAGACTGTTTGCTTTCACTGCATGGTAGAAGTAGTGCCCTCCAATATATCTGTTGACTGCTGCCGGCTGGGGTAGGTCATGCTCCTCAGCATTGTTGGTAATGAACTGGGCAGCATCTTTCAAAACATAAAAACTGTATTCATTTTTCGGCCGCTTGTGTTTTTTTTCATGAGTTCTCGAAATCAACCAATTTGTTGTGAGTTGACGAATCAGAGATTCTAACGTAAATTTGCCAATGTTATGGGTGATCAGAAATATTTCTCGACAAACTTCAACTTCATTGAATTCATAGAGGTATCGAAGACTTTTTCTTGTTGAACTTTCATGTTTTGACTGTCTGCTCCTAGCCTTTACCTTTAATTTCGCCATGATATAGAAATCTCTTTCATTTCTCGTCATCTCGTATAAGGGAATTATATGTTCTCTGATATCTGAAAAACTAAATGTAGAGATACAGTTTTTCGCACATCTGCATCCCTTTTCAATCAGAGAGCGCAATTTTATATCCTCGGTGCATGGATTATCTAGAATGTTGATGTCGCCTTCCTCTTCGCTGTTATCAGAGAGATTTTCATTCATCTGCTCTTCGACGTACATGTTGATCTGTGCATCTGGATTTGCTGAATTGTCATCTGATTCGACATCATCGCTTGTATCATTGATAGAACATGTATCTTTGTTCTGATTACTAGGATTTCTTAAAGAAAAATATTCTGTGTTGATATTTTCTAGGTCCTTAAATTGGATAGAATGCACTTTACCGGTACGGCCGCCATTTTGATTTTAGATCCGCGCGTGACAGTGCGCAGCGTAAAAACTTAGCAACGTATCAACTATGATGGGCGACACCATTTTGTTGTGTAAGAAACTCTCGAAGCGAGAAAAAAAGATATCTAAATAGGTTTTCGCTTTTTTAAGCGGGGGTGTGGGGGCGGCAGCCCCCAATACGTAAAAAAAAATTAAAACAAACTTACCTTAGTAGTTAGATGATTCTGCGTTAAGACTCGGGGCCATACGTACGTGTCACTATACATGTAGAACCATTGTGTCTTTTTTTGATGAGTTGTAAATACGTTTTTATGGGTGATGAAGGAGATAAACGTCAATTTTTAGTTATAGCTACTATCCAAGTGCATTCTTGTTTTAGTACAGATTTCCTATATAACTGCATTCCATGTGGTCTCAATGATTGTAAAGTATCCAGTGTTTTGCAAATTGAAATAGATAAATTTTAGTTCGTAAATCCAGGATTTAGTGCAGCTCATTTTCCAGAAATCTAAGATGTGTCTCTTACGTTTCATTTTTCTGTTACTGCCGATTGCTGTTTCACAAAACAAGACAGTCCTCACTGCATCTTTACAAGTTTTGCCCCTCCACTTATTCAACATTTCCATAAACTAAGGATCACATTTATCGCTAAAATTTCCAAAAATTCTAGAATGTTGCAGTCAGTCAATTAAAAATATCCATTCATAGAAAACACAACACAAATCATCTTAAATAAGGTGCATGATGAATCACTGTTTACAATCAAATAGAGTGGAAGTCAAACTTTCTATTTCACGTCACCTACCCTGACCTATCACAGCACTGAAATAAGTCACGTGCTTAACAACGTCACGACTTTGGAATGTGGCCGACAAAATGAAAGCCAAAGGTTTGTTTTGAAAGTGCTTTTAGTTTTAATTAATAACTTCGTTAATTAAACGTAGTTTATTAACATGAAAAATGACGAGGAATTCAAAAAATAGGTTATTTTTGCATTTTATTGCCTTTTTAGCGAAATCGCCACGCTGACGCGTGACTCTCTTATAGAGAAAGAGCATGTGCTATTTCCATGTTATTTGGACGTACCGGTAAAGTGCAGTTGTCACCTTAAATTTGTATAATACAATTAATTTCAAAAGTTAGAATGTAATATAATAAGCGGATGCAATAAAAGTGGGGGGATTTTTTTTAGAATAAAATATATAAGATAAAAGCAAAAGAATAAAATAGAACCCCACTCCTGAAAAATTTGACTATTCTCTCATATTTTAAAAGCAGGTTGTCCAGCTGTAAAAAGTCACAAAGACCGGTTACATACTACATTTGATTCTACGTATCAATAATACACAGTCTTTGTATATATATTGCGATTAATATGTTTGCAAATCAAATTATATATATATACATGTATTTATACATGTATATATATACTATTTTGGCAGTCTTACATGTATATTCCCGATTAATGATTAAATACTTTTACCTTAATGAATATTTTTTCCTTAATTTCGAAACCTGTCCGTTACGTTCCTGTCTTATTTTCTACTTTCGTTTCTTTTTAATTTACCCCCCTCCCTTTTGCTAACGTAAACAAACCAAATTGTCTGCATAACAACAATAAAGTTTTGGGAAAGAAGGAAAGGAATCGGCATACTTTCGTTAAATGTTCGACTTTAAGATATCTGGAATGAACAAGATAACTCTGAAGAAATATTTTAATTGTACAAAAGCGGGGAAAACCGTTAATCTTTTAAATCTTGGGAAACGAATAAACGAGAAAAACGACACCGTGAATGAGGACGGAATTCTTTTAATTTTAAATAGTCGGTAGCAGACTATTTCGGGTTTTACAGCATTGACAGGTTGTAATACGTATTTATATGTTCAGTTTGAAATTCAGATAAAAAGATGCACAAACGAAATCCAAAATTTCTGTGACCCAGACCTGATAGGATATTGGAGTAGCTTCCCTTTTCACATACGAACTAAGAAAACTTACCAAGGAAAATATACCCATTGGGATAACACAAGACTAAGTATGTCCAAAAAACTAATTGATCTCAGAGAATGTTAGTAATGACACAATGATATTAAGAACGTTTTTTCGTTATCTACCCATTTCGAAAGAGGTAGGGCCATTTTGGGCCTTATTTGGCCTTGAGAATTTCGGAAAATTCAAACCGCTCAGTTTAGGTTGCAAATGCAGTATTTATCACTTGGACTATTGGTGACCACGTATTTATTAATTGTGACGTAATTTCAAACCTAGTAAACGCATTATGACGTCATAGAATGTGTCATTTTCCTCAAATCCTGCAAATTCTTTTGAAAATGGCCTAAAGTTGAAGAGTTATTTTTTCAATATTTCATATAGAGCACAACCTCTGATCCAAAATATGCCAGTACATAATGAAAGGTCTATTTCTGAAGATCAAAAAACATGTTTCATTTTTTGGATCGTAGGCCGTGCTCATATTTTAATTCTTTGCTGAAGGTAGTCAAATATGCATATTTTCTGCAAATTTCAAGAACATTGCAATTTCTCAAAGCCTGTTTTCAAAACGAAATTTCATTATAGAACATGAAAGCACTAAGTGTGTACTTTAATTTGATATATAAAAATGGAAAGAGGTTGATAGTTAATTAATTTATAAAAGTACAGGGCCATTTTATGCATAAGATGGCTCTTGCTCTTTCAGCATTGAACTAAATGATACCCCGCCCTCCATATGAATATATTGGCAGTGTCTATGTTTTGCTATGTTTAACCCAAAATATGCGTCGGGTCAAAAAGTAAAATAAGATGTGCACAATGACAATATGTAATTAAGATTTCATCAAATTTCATTTAGTGGTACATTATGAGAGAAGTTGCGGATAAGAGATGGGTACCCCAAAAATTAACACACGGACATACTAAAGTACAAATGGACGGACATACGGATTACTTTTTACCCACTTGCTTTAAAAGCGAGGGTATTAAAATCTCATTAAAAGACCCAAATAATATAATTTGCGATTTTTCCCCATTTAATTCTAGTAGACATACAGTAAGCTTTCTGTAACAATCCCTGTTTTATTAAACAATTAAACATATTGAATAAATAGGTCGGAATTGCTTATTGGAGAGGTGTTCTTTCATCACTATATCATAAAGATTTTTTCAATGATTTTTGAAAATATTGTCATATAGAGATGACTGCAAACTTTATTTTCAGGTGAATACCACACGTACATGTACACGTCAAGATGTCTCCTCTACTCTCTGTTATTCTTGGATGAGTATACACTCGATATCAATGAACAAGGTCATAAAGAAATGTTCAACGCAGTCAGAGAGAGGTATTTTAATGATCTGGAATCAGGTAACGAAATTAAGGTGCCAGCTGAGCTACAGGGAATCGTCAACAAACAGGAAACTTGTTATATGTTTAAATCAGAAGAAGTCAGGCAAAACGTTATGTACGCTTTTGTGACGGAATGTTTAGTTGAGGACAGCGATCTGGAGTTTTTCCTGAGAATGGCATCCAAACACGTGGTATCAGAGTACTGTAGGTCCTGGAATTATGAAAAGAGTGATAATGAGAAATGTTTGTATATACCAGACAAACCAAAGGAGATGTACGATCTCTTCATAGATAATTTACAGGTGGATATCTTAGTACATTGTTTCATGTCAGAGAAAGAGTGCCATAGTAATATCAGGAAACGCCGTAAGTACATATTAAATAAAATATCCCCAAACCTTTCTTGTATCTGAACTGATTTTACTTAAAGGGGCTTGGTGGTCGTGGCAATTTTCATCCTAGTTTGATCTCCTTCAGACGAAGCTTGCCATATGAAAATGAAATAATCAATGAACAAGAGCTTTATTCGACCCTTTGAAAAATCAAAACCGCTCAGTTTATGTCGCAGTATCTATCACTAGGAGAATGAGTGAATATGTATCTATCAATCGTGATGTAATTTTGCAACTAGTAAATGTATTTTGACGTTATAAAATTCTTTTTTTTCCCATATCCTGTCAATTGATTTGAAAATGACCTAAAGTTGAAGCATTTTGTCCATATTTCATATCGAGCACAACTTATTATGCAAAATATGCAAAAAAATGGAAGCCAGGTGTGTTATAGGACCAACGACATCCCAAAATATTAATTAAAGGGTAATTTAAAGTTAAAAGATAAAAATATCTAAATTTAAAGGATCTAAGTGTTAATGTTTTAGGTCAACTATTTTAAATAATTAATAAAAATATTGGCAATAGAAACTAGAAATCACCATCTAAACATTAGAATAGGTTCGATTGAGTTGACCATAAAGTGGTCCTAGTGAATGAAATCTATAAAAACTGACATGACAACTCATGATCATTAATTTGCATAGGAAATTGTCTTCAGAAAGTTATCTCTCTGAGTAGAGGGATATTTTCCCTTAAAAAATAATTGAAAAATTAGCAGTTGCAATAAACTTATGAATAGGAGAAATAACAATACGTCTGTGAAGATTTGTTAACTACTATTTCATTTCAAATTTATTATAAATATATAAACCCTTCATTTTCAAGTTAACAGATATATTTCGATTAATGCTCAGTTTGAGATTTGACATTCAAAAAGATATGAAAAAATACAGATGTTTTAAAACAACAAGCAGTCTAGCTGCTAAGTGGTCCGTAACAAAATTCTCTATATCATACAGGTATTTAATAAATGCCCTAGGACACCATATGAAAGTTCCGGGAATGTAATTGGATTTTTGCAAGAATTGATTTTTACAGACGAATTTTTACGTGGACATTATCTTTCTTTCTTTTTCTCTTTCTCGCTCTTGAAGGCAAGAGGTGGGAATGCTCATGAAGTATTTTTAAAGTGTTCATCACCTGCTTACGGAGTATATACATTGTAATTATAATTATCTCAGTTGATTCGAGACACAAAAGCATGCTCTACGTATGAACGATATTTTAAACGAGGTAAATTATTGACAATCAATTTGATGAAACAAGAGTATCAGCAGTCTCGTTTAACGTCACCGTTTCGTCAGCAAATACAATTAACATTGAGTCAAATGCTGACTTACGTTTTTCATACTTATTGTTAGTTCATTCATTATACACTGAATTGACGACGGATTTTTACTGATCATGACAACGAGCACACGGCGGGTGTGACTGGTCGACAGGAGATTCTCACTCCTCCTTGGCACCTAATCCCACCTCTGATGTTTCGGAGTTTCGGAGTGTGCTCTGCTCTTATTTTGTATATTTGTTTAATGGACTTTGAGACTGAATACTGTTCTTTACCTCCATATCCTTCTCTATTTCACCAGCAACTAACAATGCATGTAAGGTTGTTGTAATATATACAGATACGGTATTTGTCCTTAAATATCTATTATTCTGTCAACTCTATTGCATGTTGGAAAACTTTTTGGCAAGCACTTTTAATGTTTTGATAGAAATTCTGTATAATTCAAGATACGTGCTAATGACTTCTCTTGAAAAACTTGAAAATCTACAACATATCAATATATTTTCATCATAAAAGTGCTTTGATGCTTCTGATTCTTTTTTATTATCTATTGCATTAGCATATGATTACATGTAATCATGTAGCCTATCCACTTATTATCTGATATGTCCTGACGTCTTTTTCAGTGAATATACCCGAGGAAATTTTTTCTTGGGATATCGATGCAAGAAAACGATTTGTTGAAATATCCCGGGGGAAGAGAGTTGAAATGTTTCACGCTAGAGGAATGATCGTTGGATGTGCTGGTGCTGGAAAAACAACTCTCCTTGAAAATCTAAAAAGGGTAAAGAGGGAAAATGAACCCGAAAAAACTGAGACAACTGTTGGCCTGGATGTCCACGAGGATTTGTTCGAAATCATAGACGACAAGTTAGAGGGTGATAGTTCTTTTTCATTACAAAATGTTCTATCAAAATAAAGCAAAAAAATGTTTTTAATAAAAAGGTCGTTTAGGCATTATAGGCGGTATAATTGTTGATACAAATCTGTTAATTTTCTTTAACCCAGGTAAACTCTGTAAAACATCAAAGGTTTTGTTTTTTTAGGTTTTGAGTGCATGTTTAAAACAAACGAGTCTAACAGAAATGATTTATTCCACTTTATTTATTTATTTTGGAAAATATACATATACCAAAGACATCAATTTGATGCTCCAATAATTACAACTGATTCATAGTTTTGTCTGGGTAGACGTTTTAATCCATCTGCCATGCTCCTTTGTGAGGACCACACTAGCGAAACACAAAAAAGCGTTGTTGGGATTGCTTGTCGTATGTTATTATTGTACCCCCGTATACGCTAAATTTACTCCGCATGGCTGACTTTAAACATTTTTTTCAATGAAAATATGTCTTTACAATTTTAAGGCGGACGCAGCATATCAATGCATGTCTGATTTCGGTATCATTTACTAAATAATTTAAAAATGATTTGAGATAATTATAATAGAAACACCAATGAAAACAAATTATTGAAGCCATCCAAAAATTAAGGACTGCGAGAGGTGAGAAAAGCTGTGCAACAGTTAATATTTCACTAATTAGAGTATGTACACGGCCATTGGTGATAACAGGTGTTTTACAGGCGTACAATGTAGGCGACGGTACTCTAATTATCGTATGCACAATTTAGTTATTTTTTAATGTTTTTGATAAATAAATGTATTTAAGAATAATAAATATAAATACAAGTACTTCCGAGAAACCAGTTTTAGTAAGTGTTCGGTACCCTGTTGACATCCCTAATTTTCTGTTAAATTTTTTGTTGATAAAAATATGCAATTGTTCTACCAAGAATACATGTATTCAATTCAATGTCTTTTTCATTTAATCAGAAATCATTTCTTTCGTACATGTATTTCTAAACAGATTTCAGTACCAATGAAGATGAGCTGCCCGTCAGAGGAATTCATTATGAGAGTAGTCATGGGAAAAAGTTGATAAGCATGACTGACTTTGCAGGACAAGTAGCTTATTATTCCTGCCACCAAGTTTACTTGTCAAGAAGAGCGTTTTATCTTATAGTTATCGATATGTCTAAAGACCTTAAAGAAAAAGTTTGCAAGCACAATGTTGACCGTCATAATCCAAAAGGATCTCTATTCCGTGCATGGAGATACAAAGGTAATAGTTGAGATGAAAAAAGTAAAAAAAAAAATAAATAAAAATAAAACTACTTGTATGTTAAACCATTTCAGCTTATTCAAAAGGGTTCAAAACATTTCTTTTTACAAATAAATGATTTTGTTTTTCGCTTTAAAGAATATGAAACATAAAATTATTGCATTATTCTTAACAATTTTTCGGATTTTTCGCAGGCAAACCATTTTAAATTTGTAATAAATGAATTAGAGTTTAATGAATTCTTTTAGAATAAACTGCAGAAAATTATGTTTTTTATGCAAACGCCGTCTTCCTTGAACCTCTCCTACATTTTACATAGTAGCCTTATTATCTTTTTGGAGATGGTTTGTGGTGGTATGTACATGTAGATGTGCAGTAAAGTTTTTGAATTTTTATTTTGCCCTTTGGGTCAAATGGGGGTCGAAAATGACATTTTTTATGCAAAAGGCACCGTCTCATTCAATAGATATGACAGTGGTGACCAAGGTTAAATTTATTGAGACAGATGGACAGACTGACATACTAATGTACATTTTTCTATGTGATTTGGTTAAAATTGGCCCATTAGTTCAATAAAGAAGTTAAAAATATGGAAACTTTCCAGACAAACAGATGGACAACAGACGTAATGTGATAAGGAAATCAGAAAAGCTCAAATGAGTATTTTGAAAAGGTTACCATGGTTACAGTATTTGAAAAGCATTTTCTTATGCAATTATTTGAGAAGCTGAACATGTATATCACATGTATCCATTGTTTAAAAAAAATGTTCATTTCAGAAAACAATATAATTGAAAATAGTTAATCAATGAATTTTGAGAAGCAAATTTATGCTAGAAAACTTTTATGGCTATTTCAACCACAGTCAATTTTAAGATGCACAACTCTTTCAAGTTTTTAATAATTATTTTTAAAGTATTTATATCATCATTTATGAATCAAGGGAAAGCACGATACTGTAAAATCATATATTTTCGTGGTGTCAAATTTTCGTGGTTTGAGGAAAATTTCTTAGTTCGTGGGGATTTGATTTCGTGGATCAAGAATTAATGAGTACTTATATGTGTGAAATTTTTCATTTCGTTGTGGACATGAATTCGTGGGTCTTGTCATACCACGAAAACAACGAAAATTAAACCCCTCGAAAATTTGTGATTCCACAGTATATGACAGTATATGACCAACATGTTGATGTTATATATATATTTTTAGTAATTTTTATTTATTGTGAAAACATCGTTCTCGGGAAAACACATGTGAAATAAGAAATCCCTAGTACTTCCTGTTCAAAAGTTATTAGCCAAGTTTATTTTTTAAAGTGGGTCAAACTCTATGGTCAAGGTCAAACATATTGATACCTGTTGAAAGTTCACAATGAATACACATCTTAAGCATGAAAGCCCTAGCACATACATGCACTTATCAAAACTTAGGCCAAGTATAAAGTCTAGTATAATTCTTGTAAAAATTGGTAAAAATCGAAAGTCAAGGTCAAGAGATAAAAAGGTCAAAATTGGCGGTACCCAAATAAAAGGTCTAGTCACAAGGAACATACATAATGTAGAAGCCATGAGTAAAGCCCATCCCATATAAAACTAAACTTATAGGCAAGGCTAATGTTTCTGCATAAAAACAGACAGACTTAATATTAACACACTATATAAAATATGTATATAGTCAAATGGAAAACAATCTACTATTTTGGAGTCACAAGATGTATTGTAATTTCAGAAGCAAGGAGTGGCTACACAGGGAAAAGTGGCTCGCATGATTTTCATGCGATTTGCTTTTCGCATGAAATTCATGCGAAAATCATACAAAAATCGTGCGAAAAATCACACATGCGAAATTCATGCGAATGTCCTCATACGATATTTATGCGAAATTCATGCGATTTTCATGTGACTGAAATTTCGCATGATATTCATGCGAATTCCAAATTATCAGTTTTTCATGTAAAAATCGTGCGAAATTCGCATAAATATAATGTGATATTCATATACAAGATTAAAAAGCAATTAACAAAGAAATTGAACATTTCAATGTTTATTTAGGTTTTTCTGCCACATCGAGTGATAAAAATTGCCAGTCTCTGATAAAGTGATATCATATTGCTTGGATGCTCCTGGGTAATCCATTGACTTCAATGATATCTGTGTTTACAGGCAGTTTTTCAGTACGTCTTTTTCAGTCTTGTGTCCTGACATTGACTAAGCTTTCCTACAAAGAAATTTTGATTATTATAAAATAGTCTACTACCCATACTAATATTCCAATTGTTTAGGTCAAAGGGACCAATTCCTAAATTAGGAAGACATACAATGAATATACAAATTCAATGAATTCAATCATATCACTTGAAAAGTCAATGTTTTAGCAACTTGTATTACTGAGTATGTTAAATGTTACTCTATGTTTATAGCAAAAACAAAAGACCATGTGTTAAACACATTCATAACTGCATAATAGACTTCAACACAAACAGTGTCTTATTGACCTACTCTATATATCCTGATATCAGGCTGCTATTGAATCAAATGAGATAAAATGTTTTATTTTAATTATGATATTCCTATTGGATGGCAATAAACATGTCATTGATGAATTTTCAATAAATTACTTACAAAAGTACTATACTGAAAAGATAGATTTTTTAAAATCTGAATAGAATAATTAGATAGTTCTTAAATTGTGAATAAATCAAATACAATAGTTTAATCAGTTATATTTTTTCCATGGGCCTCATATTAATCCCCTAGAAGGTGGAACCTTTTGTTGGCCTATCATCCTATGTCTAAGTTATTTTTTAGGATACACTCTGTTTATGTGTTATTCTCTTTAAAGAACCGGACAAGCTATCGCCTACATCCACCTCGATGTAGGCTATAGCCTGTCTGCTTCTCTAAAGAGAATACATGTGAGTCGGAACAAAACACACAGTCTGTGTATTTTGTTCTGACACATGACGTTGTAGAGACTGTAATGAAAGTTAGTTAAAATAAAAATGAATTTAAATTACTTACTCATAATTTGGTAAAATTTCAAATAAATTTCTCTCAGCATAAAAAGACCATTCGATTCACCTGGCTGCGTTACGTAGAACTTGAAATGAGAACGAAATCCGAATTTACTCTGAAAGATTTCGTTGCAAGTTGAATTATCAATAAATATGTGCATTATAAACACAAAATATGACAAACAATTAACAAAACATACATATTTACCATTGTTTTAAGGAATTAGATCACAATCAGTCAAAAGGAAAGTCTGGAACAAACCATAGAAAGGAGCTCTCGCTGACTCGGTTTTTTTTTTCTGTAACAGGAAGTGGTGCAAATGGAACCTGGCTATTCAGTTTCGTATTCATCAAAGAATCGGGAAATACCTTAATTTTTTAATATTCGTCGTTCATATTTTAATCTTGAAAATGTATCTTCGCTTCAAAGACGAACGCTAATGACTAAGTGATATAAATTTACTTTATGGAACGAAAGCTTGTTTTTATGGAAGGCCGTACGTCACAAATTACGTCATCATGCGGATCAGAAACAGACTAGAAAGAGCAGAATGTTTTCAATTGCATATTTTCTGTAAGTTTGTAAGATTTCCAACTACTTCAGCTTTTATACCAGAAACAGTGTATATGTAATAACTTTATTTGGGAATATTTGTTGACAGCTTAATAATAACAGATTTAAGTGGATCTAACATCTATGGTAAGTGTTGAAGCTGAAAGATTTGCCTGATACCACAGGCGCTTGTTTCATACAGTAACTTAAGCTTAGATTTCTACGTGTTATTATATAGTAGAAATCTAAGCTTACTGCATGAAACAATATCGCCTGTGCCTGATACAGGTTCTCTGCTCTTCTATATTATTGAAAAGGCCTAGTGAACTAGGGTAGGTCTAATGTTTTGGTTTGTTTTTAGATCCTGTTGTACATTGATCTGGTAACAATTCAGCAAGCAAATAACACACATAGTGGCGAATCCAAGATAAGGGGGGGGTGCGGGATTGTAGATTGAATGTTCCATCGTTATGATGATTAATGTCCTACTGAACCGGTCACTGAGGGCTTGTCCCGGGGTACCTGTAAAGTGCGAAACGAAATAGAAACGAAACGAACTGAAACGAAACGAAATCGGCCGAAACGAAACGAAATCTACCGAAACGAAACGAAATCAAGACGAAACGAAACGAAATCAAAACGAAACCCGCCGAAATGAAACGAAACAACACTATCAAAATGTTTTTTTTTAATCAAGGTACATGTATATAATTATAAATGTGTAACTACATGTGGACTTTTTTTTTACTTCAAATAAAATTCATATACTTCAAGCACTTGTTAATATAAAATTTAATTACCGATAAATTATGCTCCCTTCTCAGTCTCTTGATGGATTCACATGTTTGCAAGCTGCAAATATGCACGAGCGTACTATGCATGTATAGTTTCAATATGTGCATTATTTTCAAATGTTTATGTCTTACTCTTATTTTCAGTCCTTATTTATCTAGATTCAACATATCTATCAAAATTGATGTGTTACATGTAAAGGCTCGTTTATGTACGGGTCGAAATAAAGTCACTGTGCTGTTGTATTGCGAATGTCTTAAAACATAGGATAAACCAGAGACTTAGAGTATTTAGTATTCCATTCCAAGGTGTCTGGATTTTTTTGTTCAATTATACATGTAACTCCAACAAAATTCTCGTGTATCCTTTCTACGTACATACATTCCTATCTTTATCGAGGTAATTTTCGAGGAAGAAAGGAGTGGTTTTCAATAAAGAGGCTTGACTATAGACGTCTTTAATGATTTAACTGACAAGTAAAAGGTCTCTCGAAGCGAACGATGTCATTTTTAAGTAGGTATATTATTCAGTAAGATATTAACAAATATAACATCGGTGTCGGAAGCGGCGGGGAGGGGGAGGGGGGGTTGCCTCCATCCCCACTTTCTTGCAAAGATATATATTACATAGGCATTGAAAACTGGGGTTTACCTTTTTGTTGGTTAAGCCCCCCCCCCCTAACTTTCAATTTCCTTCTGACGCCTGAGCTATGTAGGAATTTGAAGCGAAACAATTGCCTCTGGTGCTTGAACTATATAAATTTCATATGAAGTAAAAATAGACCATATAAACATTCTGAAAGTTTTGTTTCGTTCGTTTCGGCAAGTTTCGTTTTGATTTCGTTTCGTCTTGATTTCGTTTCGTTTCGTTTCGGTAGATTTCGTTTCGTTTCGGCAGATTTCGTTTCGTTTCAGTTCGTTTCAGTTCGTTTCGTTTCGTTTCGTTTCTATTTCGTTTTGCACTTTACAGGTACCCCTTGTCCCGAGACAAAGTTAGATTATAGATTATTCTATATACTGGGGTTGCAACCCTCCCATTGACTTTGCAAAAAAGGAATAAGAAGAAAGTTCAAAAGTTTTATTTGTGTTTTTACCATAGAAAATGTTGAGTGAAAAGCTAAAGTTGTAATGTGTAAAGAAATGTGGTCCTCAAATACAAACCTAACCCCCTTTAACAATTAAAATACTTAGATTCTCAGTTCTGAGATATATTTTCCTTTCCTTTTCAAAATCCTTTCTGGTAATCCATACTGTTTACAAATACCTTTACCCAGGTTTATGAACCTCCTACTTTAAAACCCATGCACTACCAAGTATCCTATTGAGTTATTTAACTACATGTATGTGTAAAATATCTTTTCCTCTTCATATCCCGCAGTAACGGGGTCATTCACCCAATCTACCAGTTCCCAGGAGTCTGTTCGTGCAGAGTCCGTTCATCCGAAATATTTTTTGCCCAATATCTACATTAAATTAGACCCTGTGCGAACAAGATTTAGGGCAAGTAGAGTCTGGGCGAATGAAAAATCGGGCGAACGGGAAATGGGGCGAACAATTTTTAGGAGGAATAAACGTGGAACCTAAACACCCCCAACCCCTTGAAAAATCTTTCAACCCCTCAACAAAAAAATACCCAACTATCCTGTCCACAAGGACCTGTGTGAATTCCAAAATATTTGCAGATATATAAATTCAGAGGCTTATATGAAAATGAGTTGTACTGTACATACAATAACATGTATATTTACAAAATATTTATCAGTTTCAAAAATATTTATTAAATGTTGTTTTCTGTACTTGCAGGTATTTGCAGGGCACTCCATTATACCACACTGATAGCTTCTCCAAGATTATAAATATGATACATGTACACAGGTAAAAAAAAATCTAAGAGAGAAATTTAAAATTTGTTGCAGAGCCTGAGGTGCTGTTAACCAACTTTTATTTGCGGCAACTTTATTTCACGATATACCGGATACCAGGGATAAACTAGTTCGCGACCTCTGATTTTCGCAATGAAGCCTTTTTCGTGGACAAATACCCGGTATACGTTTAGGACAGGTTCGTGGGGAGAAATATTCATGATGACAAGGCTCTCGCGAAGTTCGGGAAAGTTTCTCATACATGAATAAAAGTTGGTTAATACTGTATTCATTGTTTTATATAAAGGATATTGTTATTACATGTATAACAATTTTGTTATTATACATGTAGCAAAACCATAACTATTCAGCTTATTTTTGCTTATCTTGCATTTCTTTAATGTAAATATAATCTTCGTTAATTTGTAAAATACATGTTTTAAATAAAGTGACAAAGGGATAATGAACTCATTGTTATTAAACCTACATTATCTGACATTTTTGAGTTTCTCTGTAGGCACAGTTACTTGTCATCACAAGGATCAGAATTCAAGTACCAGAATAGTCCTAACTCCTAAATCATCCTGATTTGTCAAAAGCACATGCAAGTATTTTTATTTTTTTTTTTGAAACTTTTTTAGCTCACCTGAGCCAAAGGCTCAATAACAGAAAAGCTATGTTAAGTCATATTGACATGTTTACAAGCATCCTCATGTATTGAAGATGTAAATTTGTTCAAATCATGAGTACATTTTGCGGTAGGGTGGGAAATGATGGGGAGTCAAATTCCCTCGCCACCCCGCCACCACACCCTTTCAGTAAACTTTCAATTCTGATCTGATTTATACATTTTCCTAGCCGATGTGCTCAGGTTAGCGATGTGGCCCCTGGACCTTTTGTTTAAAATTTTGACAATTTTGACTACGCTGGAAATATTTCATTTAATTTTTCTCATCTAAGCCAGAGGCTTAAGTTAATTAGCCCTTTTTGCAGTCAAAATTTGTCTGTCATAATTTTTTTTTTCATTTTCATTGTTGATCGAAACTTTAAACACATTTTACTTAAAAAAATAAACATTGTAAAAATACCAGCTTATAAAAAGTTATTAAATTTGTGAGATTCTCAATATGATACATTTCAGCTACTGACACAAGGGATTAAGAATGTGGAGCAAGTGCCAATAATGGGGTATACCTGACTTCTCGGCATTCTGGTTATCACCATCCGATTCAGACATGCCAGTGAAGATCAACTTCAAGGTGAGGATTGAAATCCATGAGGACACTTGAGGCATTCATGTGTCAATTTATTGTTATTTGTTTTTACACCTATTGCTTCTCTATCCACTAGTTGTTGTGTGTCATCAATTGTTCAATACTGACTGAACCATTATCAACCAAATTTGCATTTCCAAAATTGTACACTATGTTGCCCCTGGGTAATAGATAGGTTCTGATGTTATGGTAGAGATATCAAAAATGCAGTAATTCTTTGACAGTCATCTTTTCTGATCCTAGCTTAGGTACTCAGCAAATAAACTTAATGCATACATATATTATATTATCCTATGTTAAGTTGTTTACGCCTTTATATATACTGTATACAGGGTTATTTTCGCCCCATCTAATTTTCGCCCTTTCACACTTGCAAACAATTTTGCCCCGTTTTAAATTCGCCCAGTCATAGTTTTGTTTAAGAAATTATACTGTATTCTTTGAATTCGCCCCGTTTTAAATTCGCCCAAATGATAATAGGGCGAAAGGGGCGAAAATAAAACGGGGGCGAAAATTTCCCTGTATACAGTATATGCCTATATGACAGCTTAAAGCAAGTACTGAAGTTTCTGAAATGCAAGGCAAACTCAAAGGTCAAGGTGAAAAGGTCAAAATTGTTAACATCTGAAGGATTTAGGTTTAGTCATATGGAATAAATCTGTGAAATATGAGACATTTAATATTAATTGTTAAAAAGTTATGGCCTAGATTATAGTTTTTAAAAGTGGGTCAAACTCTTAGGTCAAGACCAAATGGTAAAAAAAAACTCTTTGAAGGGTCCTGTCACAATGATTACAAAATAATGTGAAGTATCAGATTGATAGCACTAGATGTTCAAAATTATATCCTAGGTCAAAGTTTAGGGATTTTTTTGTTGTTGTTGTAAAAGTGGATCAAACCCTAATATCAAGGTCAAGAGGTCAAATTTTATAGTACTCCAAAAAAGTTCTTGTCACAAGAAATACACCTGGTGAATATGAAGCCATAGCTCTACCCACTCATAAGTAATGGATAAGATTAAAAGTTTTGCAGACAAATACTGGTAGACAAAGAGATGGACATACAGTGCAAAAACAAAATAAACCTAAGAATCTTTGATAATGGAAGCAAAATTAATGCATAATTATTTTTTCATGACCGTTTATATAATTACAAAGATTCAAACTTATTGATTTTACTTTAAAAAGTTGACCGTATTATTTGATTTCATAATAAGAAAAACTAAATGAGACATAAATTAAATTCATGACCAGTCTTAATAATATTTTTAGATTTATTTCTGTTCTTTGCTTTACAGTGAGCTTTTGCTGATGGACGCAAATTGTTCAGAAAAAATCCAGCTACCACATTAATCACAGCCTGATAGATTTCTGGCGAGACTTCAGAAGAAACATAGATGCAATGGTAGGTAAATTTTTCCTTTAAATTCCCTTGCGACACATACAAATTGCATCATCAGATCTAGGTTAATGAAAAAGAGACAATATTATCTCAAGGTTTGTTTGAAAACTGACACAAGATTATACTGTTTAAAGTTTAAAATCATTTGCAGGAAAAAGTTTTCAATTTTAGATCACCTGAGCCGAAGGCTCAGCGAGCTTTTCTGATCACATTTTGTCTGGCGTCCGTCTTCTGTCTGTTTCACATTTCCAAACTTCTTCTCAAGAACTACCACTACTGGCTTTTAAAACCCCTGTCCGTATGAAAATCCACTGTCTTTCTCTGTATCCTACAGCATTTTCACAGTAATCTACGGTATATCTACAGTATGCTACGGTATGCTAGCTCTGTATGTACAGTAAATCTCTGTATGCCACTGTATGTATCCCCAGCATGCCACAGTTACATACAGTAGGCCCCGATACGCCTACAGTATGCCACTGTATGGCTACTGTTTCCTACAGACAACTACGGTAAACCCCAGTGTATGTCCCAGTACGCCCCTGTATATGTTCATTGAAGCAAAAAGAAGAAGTTTACACACTCCCAGAGCACTGTACGGTTACCTAAGATGTGGGATTATCAATTAAGTACACAGAGTTACTTACCTAAGAAATTTTTGAACATTATTTTAAACACATAGTAGTATTTTTTTTTAATTTGTTAAGAGACTTATTGTGTTTTTTTATAACTCTGAAATGTCTATTAAGAATTAATAAATCATTGCTTCAAAGATTATTTATCTATCAATTTTTAGAATTAATTATTAAATTATTCTTTGGTTGATTTATTAGTTAATTAATTTATTTATTCATTTTGCAAACACCTATTTAATCCATAAAATACTTTGAGTGACTTTGTAACTTTTGAAGAAAAAAAACGCGACCGGGGTAATGCTGCATTTTGGAAAATTGCAGCTTTTAAAATTGATATAGTTTCTTTGAAAAAATAAATATAATTAATTAACAGCATGAAATTAATCATTTTAAAAATAAATCAATCTATTTCTTGACAAATGCAGAGCTGCAGAGTAGACACGGCACAAAATAAATAAGGTGAAGTGGTAAGTGAAAATTAAATAGAATAAATGACTTTAAAAATACAGAATTAATAAATGAACTAATTATTTATCTTATTTATTTAATCTGTTTATCAATTTATCTACAAATACATAAATAAACAAAAAAAATAAAAAATAATTTATTTATTTTTGTAATGACAAGACAACAGTGATTAAATATACACCCCCACCCCCCAATTGATTTTTTAAGTTTTATTTTTATATGCTACATGTACAAAGTATTTTTTAAGCATATTAAAACAAATTTCAATAATTTTTCGTCCATGATGGATATCAAAATAATCGTCAGATTATGCACAGATTATGCACAATTTTAATTTGTCAATTGCAATTTCATATTTTTACTTTGTTTTGTTTTCAAAACCGTAACACGATTATGAAAGAACTTCAAAGCCATTGATTGTTTACAAGTGACATGGGGGACACAGTAATGACACCTATTGTCTTTTTCACTGACCATTATACCTTGTTTATTTTGTCGCAGAGAGCGACAGTAACCACTCTGCGGCTGTTTGAAATAACATTTTCTCTTTGTGAGAAAACCGTTTTTTGTCAAACAAAACAAAACAAAATAAAAGTATCAAAAAGCTATTGACGGGTTAAGATTGTGCATAATGAGACGATTATTTTGATATCCAACACGGAAGTAAAATAATTAAAAGTAGTATAAATATGCTTCAAAAAGACTTTGAGAGACATTTTAGCAGAAACTTGTTTACATTGAATAAGCCAAATAAATCCAACTTTCAGTATTATAATTAATTAATTTGTTTGTATCGTCAATTTTAAAATCAAATAGATAAATATATTGTTCTTTTTACAATGATAAAATACGAGGGTTGATCCAAAAGTTCGAGGAATTTCTTTCTAAAATTTTATCGTGATTTTATAAAAGCAAACAATAGGCATATTTATAAAATAGAGTCATAATGCAACAATACTGGAAAATTTCACCACGTTCCAATTACCAATAAGGTCACACGGGCTTTCTGAAAATGGATAGTTGTGCAACCCGGGGGAGACTTCGACGTAACGTCAAGTAAGGTATGTCACGTCACGTTATAGAAGCATCTCACCCTAATGTCCAATTCGAACACTTAATTCTATAAAATGCTGCATTTTTTTTTATATTTTTTTTTTTCATGAAAAGCCTGGGTATCCTCTCGCACAAACTGATCTTCATTTTTCACTCATGTTTCAAAATATCCCCCATCTTTCCATATGATGTTCCGATTTCATTAGCAATGTCAAGAACAGAACGTCAGTTGACAACGTCTATTATCGCTTTTAATTTGTCTAGGGGGATAAACACTTAAAACAGAGCCTCAAAAAGGCGGTCACACCTTGAATCAACGTCCATGGAAGTTCTATTTTTCTTCAATTTTTTATGACACTGGAAAACCAGTAACTAAATGTATTTTTCCTCAATTTATGTCAATAATAGACGCATTTTAGATAGAGTGATTCCGGGATTTTCACAAAACTTATGACTTTACCGAAATTTGACGTTGTCTAAAAACCGAAAGATTAACAAAAAATTATCAACTAATAAACAAAATATCCTTTAAAATCAGTAAAACTCACATACAAAGGTTTATAAAAAATCAAGCAATAATAATGATAATAATGACATAATTTTCATTTTCTATAATACATAGGGCGGTTTTATTCTCATTTCAAGTATTAAGAATTAAAATGATAATAAACGCGTTGATGTCTCCCCCGCATTTCCAAACATCCGTTTCTATGGCAACTGCT